TTCAGCATGTGGCTGCCATCGGCCAGGCCTAGACACTGCAAAATTTGGTATTTTTTTCACCACGGTGAATGGTTGTTACTACCTATTTCTATCTGCACGGAAAGCTAACTCCTTCGTCACTGGGATTTGGGACAGAGCACAATCAAACCATAAGGAAGCTGCAGACGCCCACTATGACGGGAAACGCCTTGGAGAAATCTCAGCGAAACAGAACCTGCTGCTGCCCGAGAGCTGCGGAGCACAAACTCAAGTCAGCTAGCAACAAAAGCAAAACCACCTCGGCTGAAATGAATGAATGAAATGCAGAATATAAACAGACAGCAGAAGTGGGGAAAAAGCTATTTACATTTTTAAAAAGTTTTAATCTTTTTTCTAAATTAGCTCAAGCATTACCAAGTATGTAATTACCAGTGATGTAATTTCAGAGGGCACCAGCAAAAACACCGGAAAACGCTGCCAGCCTACTTCTACCTTTTTTGTCTTTACCTTTTGCCTTAACATCTTTTTCGCTCTTCATGAAAGAACAGACAACTTTTACACAGCAACGTTTTTACAGAAAGAACATGCCTTTGGAGGTTTCTTTCTAAAACCACTTAAGTGGAATTCTGCAACAGCCTGAACCATGTCTCCCTTCTGCTGGGACAGTAGCCTAGATGTTTTTTCCACTTGCAAAATGCTTCCAACTGATTTCTAATTTTTCTTACTATTAGCTTTCTGCCAACAGATTGTGCATACAATATTTAGCAATAACAAACAGAGCAAGATAAAAACTGCTGCAGCTTGAGAAGTGAGCTCAGGATATGATTTCTCTTCACCGGATGCCTGGAAGATGTCACTGAAATTCTCTCTCTCTCAGTGCAACCCGTGTGGAGCCAATATGAACTCCCAGCAAAGTGCTTAAAAACCCATTATTTATAATAACTGTTAAATGATGAGACATTGTTTACCCAGATCGCAAGATAAATTCTCACTTACAGAATGCTTGCCTGACTGTCCTGAACGTCATCTGGTTTTTATTTAAATGCAAAATGTAATTAGGCTCCCAATAACACAGCAGAAGAATTCAATAAGATAGGGCTTTTCACTTACAGTTTAATATTAACATTTTCCCATAAATGTTAATGAATCAAAGTCTACTGTTTTATATACTATCCATGGTGGGGAGACATCAGGCTAGGAACAGAGGGAAAGATAATATTTTCATGCCACAAATTAAGATATATACTTCAAGGAGAACTACCTGCACCCAGCACGCCTAGGACCTGGCCACAGCACTGCGTCCTCCTGGCTGCACACACCAAACCTTGCCCCGCTGGAAGCACTCCAAACAGCAGCACTATTGATAAGCGAGAGCCTCCAGGAGCATAGCTCGCCTTTGTTTTTTTTCTCCTTTTTCCCTTGTTGTCTCTCCCCCATCCCACTTTCCGTCTGACCATCTCCGCTAGATACGCGCCAAGCATCAGATAGCCAGCAGCATAGCTGTTAAACAAGGATGCGGGCCCAAAGCCCTGATACTCTTAGACTCCAGATTGGATAGCAGGGCTAGATTATCAGAAAAATCAGGTTGCTATTTGTCTGATACTCTTTTTAGAGAAATGTACTGGGGTGATGAGAGGTGACGGCTTCATAGCAGACAAGACTGCAGACTACAGTACTGCGTTAGAAAATGATGTGGCATCCGAACAGACCAGACGGAAGACAGCCTTTGGAGTGCTGCTCTGCTTTGTGGAGGTGGCTTTGACGGCCCTTTAGCAGCCCATCAGGGTACTCCTGCCTCTCCGCAGCATTCCCTTGGGCTGAAGCTGTGGGGAGCAGCGCTAGCAGGAAAAGAGGGGCCTCTGCGGCTGAGAGGAGGAAAAGCAGCAGGGCCAAAGGCTTGTCTCACACTGGTACATTTTAATTGTTTTAGCTTTTGACCTTGCATTTACTGATGAGAATTTTGCTGTGCTAATGTGTATTCTGCTGTTTGGTGACTCATGCTTCATTGTATCACTCTAATAAGAAGTGTTCATTTAACAGTTTGACTACTTAACAATGTATTGCATAAATGGGTTTCCATTCTCCAGCCTTCTCCCCCGTCTCCCCTAAAGAAAGAGGGCCATACATACTTTATGAGAACTCTGCAATAGCTCTGGCTGTCTTCCACTCAGATCCAGGGAAGAGAAGATGCCCGTGACATCACTGTGATGCTAATGCTCTACCAGGGCACCAAGGGGAGTCTGCAAATTGGCTGCACGGAGCTTTGAGATAAAGAAAGGCTCAAACTTTTGAAGAGTTAATGCAACATGCACAGTAGATGTGCGCTGTATGGCCAGCGCTCAGACACACGAGCAGCGGTGTCAGCCCAGCGACCCACGCCGCAGAGCGCTGGGGTCGGAGTGGCCTGGCGATGCGCAGGCGGCTGCCGCACACCTCCCGCCCCGGAGGCACAGTACGCCCCAGGGCGACAGCCGTCTTGTCCTTAATATTAGGGTCACGTAACATTGTACGGTGATTTCTGGTCACTTTGGTATCTCCACTGTCCAGACGGCAAAACCGAGGCAGAGACAAAGCGGCTGCAGCGCAAAGCAAGGGAGCAGCAGAGCCAATGGAGACCTCGCACCTTCCCACAGCTAAGCCAGGCTTTAGGAGCAAGCCCCAGCCAAGAGTGCTCCTGTAAAAATCAGCAAAATACCCCCAGACCCCTGCTGAAAGGGTCTCTGGGCCTGCTGGATCTGTGAGGAGAAAGAGGAGCTGTCTTGCCTTTACTCTGCCATCACACCAGCAGCTGCAACAGGCTTTGGCTCACAAAACAGCTGTAAAAATATCAGTCCTGTTTCCAAGGCTGGCAGATGAGGGGTCTTATTAAGAAATATATGCTTGCCATAACGTAAGTTACGTCCTACACCAAAACACCATGCAAAGACTCCTAAAAGGAATAACAGGGGAGTTACAGAAATTAGAGATGGAAAAATCCTATATGGCTGTCTAGCCTCCTGCACCCTGCTCAGTGCAGGATCGGGCTGTGTGGGGCATTCTTCCG